GTCTAGACAGCATACTAAAAAGCAGAGACATCACCCTGCCAACAAAAGTACGTATAGTCAAGGCTATGGTTTTCCCAGTTGCAATGTATGGCTGTGAAAGCTGGACCATAAGGAAGGCTGAGCGCTGAAGAACTGAGGCCTTTGAATTGTGGTGCTGGAGGAGACTCCTGCGAGTCCCTTGGACCGCAAGGCGATCAAACCGGTCAGTCCTAGAGGAGTTCAACCCTGACTGCCCTTTAGAAGGCCAGATACTGAAGATGAAATTTAAATACTTTGGCCACCTAATGAGAAGGAAGGACTCACTGGAGAAGAGCCTGATGCTGCGAACAATAGATGGCAAAAGAAGAAGGGGATGGCAGAGAATGAGATGGCTAGATGGAGTCACTGAAGCAGTCAGCATGAGCTTAAGTGGACTCCACGGGATGGTGGAGGACAGGAAGGCCTGGAGGAATTTATCCATGGGGTCGCGATGGGTCGGACATGACTTCGCGACTAACAACAACATTAATTGTATGTATATACCACCTGTCTTCCTTCCTAGAAAGGGGGTTCACATAATTCTCCTCCTCCTCTCAATCTTATCTTCAGAATAATAACCTTGTGAGGTAGGTTGTGCTGAGAGTCTGAGTCTGGCCCAAAGTCACCCAGCTGGTTCCATGCCTGAGTGTGGACGAGAACCCAGATCTCCTGGGTCCCCAGACCTACAGTCTTAACCACTATACTGCACTTAGGTTTGTCTGAAAGGCATCATCAAAAACATAAGAAGCACAACACTCTATGCATATAGCATGTTGGCACTGGGGCTGGGGGAAAGCAAAATCATGTGGGAAAGGAATATAAGCCAGACTGAATTTTTTCTATAATTTTAAAGTCACGTGACAAAATAATATCAATTTGCTATTATTCACTTACTGGATACTGAGAATGATGCAGACCATCTGGAGAGGACTTGGGACTGGATTCCATTGGCATATACTGCAGAGTAGTTCTCTTGCCCTGGTAACATTTTCACTCTTACAGGTCCACCCGAGCTGGCGATTAGACCTCTGTAGCAAAATAAGATTTTCAAATAAAAAATATGGACTTTAAAAATTTGAAATAAAACAAAATAGTTGCAAAGTTCCCCTTCCCCATAGGAAGCTTTAGACCTAATATTATTTTGCTTTCATAAAATCATTAATCTTAAATTTGAGCAAAAATATTACTATTTCAACAACACTTTTATTCTGATTATAATGAAAGTATGCAATACAGTTAAAAAATACTTGCGCGCACTTTTACCCCCTTAGCTTATTTTGTTTATAACAAAGTGAAACAATTTAAGAGGAACTTCACCAGGATAATAGGACATGAATTGCCTTTTAGTCTGAAAATAGTTATTGAAACTCTTCAAATCCAAACCCCCAAAACTCCATCAGCCAATGATATTTCTGAACTCTAACAAGAATGAATATTGCCCCAGAAATACAAAACTAATCACAGGTAAATAATAGTTTAGCAAACCAACCTATTAAAATTTATTTTAATCTAATTATTAATTCAGTAATGGTGGCTGGATCTAGACATGGTAGACAAGAGAAACCCAAATAGATTTTTATGGAGGAATGCCAGCCTTTTATTTTTAATAATTACAGTATACTCTTTTGTTGCTTCTTATGTTTTTGGTGGGTAGAAAGGTAAAATCTGACTTTTTTGGCTACTGCATTTACTTATAATAATAAGTAAATAAATGAAGTCTGTGCCTGTGGTAAATCGACATCAAAGTAGAGCATTTGTCAGTTAGTGTATCTGTGATTGTTGTAGTTTGCATTCGGTAGTAATTGGGTAGCTTTCTCTCCTCCGTTGCACAACCAAGGAATGCTAAATAAGCAGGGAGCTTTTCTTTGTAGGAAGAGACACTTGCAGCTTTCAGAGACCACCCCGAGAGCTTCAGTTCTCTCCCTGCAACTCACTGGGGGGAGGGGGCACCCTTTATTAAACCATCTGACCTGAATGAACCTAAATGCACAGGGATACTCTGCTTCTTCAGCAACACGCATCTCTCAGCTACTGCAATGTACTGTATCGTGTTAAGTAAACTGAAATTACAGCTGGAGGGAAGCAGAGGATATATTACCACAAACTATTCCACAGTGTAATTTTGACTGCATAATCTTCTATGTGAAAAATAGATAATAAACTGCCTATATGGAAGTGGGCTTTTGTTTTACATATTTGTCAATCAACCAGATATACATTGTGAGATAGCAATACATAATTTGCGCATACTTCTCAACTCAGTGTATGTATATTTGGCATATAATTTTTTAAAGAGTCAAATAATGAGACATATTCAGATTACAAAGAATCCTCCCAATCATGCATGTCTTTTTGTGGAAAAGAACTACAATTATTTGGCTAGCCTTGGAGCAGTTCCCATGAGCAAGCATAAAAGCTGGATAGTAGTAAAGTTGTAGAAGGAACAAGTAAACTTGGGATACATTTGCTATTTAAGAGTGATAGAAATCTCTACACACTTCTGTGAGTGAATTTTAAATTGTGCTAAAATTCTATCTGTATCTATGTGCTTCGCAAGGATTCCACAGTAGTTCAAGCCACATGTTTCTCTTAACACAGAAATCAAACCTACTTAAAAAAAAAAATCTTGAAAGCCTCTTTCAGACATTCAACCATGACCTTCTCTAACAAACTTCTCTAAACATCAACTCAGTTTAGAGAAGTATGTAAAACCCACCCCAATAGCAAATTTAGCCTGCACAGCAGTGTCAGAATGCCTCAGGAAGTGAAAGATTACATAAAATTCTATCATGACAAAATGCAATTATCTTCAATTTGTTGCAACAACAATAGTACGTACCACTGCTTTGACGTTCCTGAACTTTAGCTAGCTGGGCTCCTTTTATGTTTTTATATAGTTGTATTTGTGCAATCTCTGAAATAACAAACATCTAAAACAGCTATAGTGGCTAAGAGGCTGAGTTAGTTATCAGGTATTTCTTCATTTAAATATGTCTGTGAATAAAGCTATTAGGAGCACAATGCATGTCTGCTCAGAATATAGTTAATTGATTGCAAAATGAGTAAGAGCTGAACTGTATATTACAGTAAATATGGGGCTACCTCATTAGCCCATCTAAAGTTTTTCCTCTTATATAATAATATAGAGTAAATCTGCAGTGGTGGAGAGTACAAAGTGGTATATCAGGACCTGGGCTATTGCTACACGTTATGTAAGGAGGGAAGATCTACTATTTTCAGCATCAGGTACTTGTTGCTGTGAGTGTTTTTATTAATTTCATTTCTATACCAACCTATAGCTGGAGGTCTCTCTCTATTATTGCATGTAATTCTGCCTTAAGGCAATACAGTATTTTTGTTGATGGAGACTTGCATGACAAGTACTCTCAAATTACTCTATGACTAATATTCTTATTAATTTCATTTACATACCACTCCACAGCCAAAGCTTTCTGGTCTGTATATGACAACCCATAAAACAGACAATATCTCTTTTCCTATTTTACCTCATAGTCACACCAATCATAATGACTTATGCTTAGCTAGAGACAGATCCAAGTAAAGCAAAAATTACAAATCACATCCAGTGAAATTATTGGGAATCTACTTCAAAGTAATAGCTTTAGGATTGGCTATTTGGAGGGCAATAGAACAATTATTTATTCATTTGTTATATTTTATTGAACACTTTATAAAATACATTATCTAAGCAATGTTAAAATATAAAAGAAAAATCGTACAATAAAAACACAGCAATTAACATTAAAACAAATGCCAGCACCACTAAAAAATACAATTGGTCTGCACTCCTATGGACTGTGGGAGCACATTTTAGAAACCAGAGAAGTTTTTGGATTTTCCCTTGCAGGACAACTTAAGTAAAAAAAAAAACCCGTTAGCATAAGCTGACAGTACATTGCAAAGGGCGCAAGTATTAGTTCCCCTCTTTACGTTCCCCATAGGATCGCTCATTTCATCACATCCCTAAATTTAAAAAACCCTCAACCAATAATTATCAGCAAAGAAAGTTAATAAAATTGTGGCTTAACTGGACCGTAAATCATTTTCTGTCATCATCTGAATTGTGTTCTTGCTATACTATTTACTGGATTTTTTTTAAAAAAGTTGATATTCCACCATTTTCCTGCAAGGAACCCAAGTCAGCCTCCTTAGTCTTCGTCTCCATTTTATCCTCACAACACTCCTTTGAGGCTTTGAATCTGTGACTTGTCCAAAGTTGGCCAGTGAGCTTTATGGGCAAACTTTATGAATAGAATCCATATTATCTGACAAAAATCCTCTGCTACTTGCATGGTTCTTTCAGCACTTCATCACTGATAAAATAGCCCCAACTGTCTGGATTTGCCACCACAAGAAAGAAATTATTTTCCACCTTGTCATTCAAAGTTTCACCTTGTCATTCAACTATTTATATCCTGGGCCTATAGCCCCCTGCCCTGTCAACATCTCTGATAGTTTTCCAGAACTTCTTTCACTTTACCAGTTACCTAATGGTGACATCTCCTGTTAATGCTTTATTGGTTTGGCAGGAACAGTCTGGAGATGTCACTTCTTTCCTTTATACCCTGCTAATAATGCTGTTTTATGATTTGATGCATAACTTACACATCGCCTTCTATCAGGTTGTACAAATAAAGCCTGCTGCCCTGAATGGTCAAATACAATGAAAGCTGTGGGGGAAAGCAGCAGGGCAACCTTGGACTGTCAGGACACTAGGCTGTTATTCTGTTCTCTTCAGCTGATAGCAGTGGATCTCCTCTTCACTCTTCAGTCTGTTGACGGAAGACTTTGCAACATCTTGAGTTACAAAAACCAGTCCAGATGACACAAAGCTTTCTTTAAACATAGGTATTTGCAGTGTTTTTCTAGGCATGAAAGGTCTGGGATGAGAGAACAAGGTATTTTGAAAACATGGTAGAGTGGAAACAGTTAACTCTCCCCACTTCCGGTATCACTGCACTTATCCAAATCTACTCAGTGCAATTGTGGGTTCCCATGTCAAACTGTATACCCTATTGAGACCAGCTGTAAACTGAGGGCATATACCAGCCCAGTGCCCAACTTTTCACATAAACAATGCTTTGCAGCAATGGTTAGATAACCTAGACATTGATGTCTGAATAAAGACCTTTTTAACATTTCTATTTTAAATATGTTTCAACCTTGTTCAAATGCTTATATATATCACAAGTCCATGTATGACAAGCTGTATACTAAATAAAGAAACTGGTCCAAATGAAAGCCCTCTACATCTGCTTGGAAGTAAACATTGAAATGGCTTAAGTCTGATCATGGAGTCCCACCTCTATTAGCTGAAGAGAACAGAATAATATCCAAGTGTGCTGATGGTCCATTGGTGCCCTACACACTACATCACAGGCAGTGCGGGCCTGGGCCTTAGTGGGAGAGGAAGAGAGACTATTTGGATATATTCATGTATTAATGAGGAGGATTTTAATGACTTCAGGGACACCTGATTTAGAGTACTGTTTTTTGGAGCAAAGTTTGATATGTAAGATTACACAGTTCTGAAGATATTCTATTCAATCAATGAAAATGTCTAGCACTTAATAGGAGCCATAGCTTACAGCAATCATTTCTAAGGTTGCTGAAGCTGGCATGGCAGGGGCAGAATTAGTCCAATAACACCACCATTCTCCTTCTGTACAAAGGACCCAAGAAAGAAGCACTTCTTGGACCCTGCCTCTTCGATCCCCCTCCCCCCCGCTGCCATTCCAAACATGGCACTGCTAGAAGCTATTTCCAATTCCATCCAGGCTTAGGGAATGCTTCTATCTAAGCACCCTAAAGCCTTCTATCTATGTGAGCAAATGAACAGCATGCCTACCATCTCTTGCACTAGAAACTAAGGAGGCAATCTATTTGGAAGTAAGCACTTTTAAGTTTCGTGGACATCACCATCTCTCCCCCTACAATCAGCACTATGTTACAGAGCTTAATATGGACATAGACAGTGCCCTACATTCTGGTCACTGGCATGATTCTG